CCCTCCCCTCCCTCCCCTCCCTCCCCTCCCAACTTTCCCAGATCCTACAAGTCCCGAACCCCTGGAGCTTCCATGACACCCTCGTCCCCGTCCTAGCCCAACTGATCGGACTCCAGTCCCGTCCGAAGTCCGGCCTGACAGAGTCTCAGCCGCGGCCGAGCCAGGGCCGGGCAGCCGCCCTCAGCAGTGGAGACTCAGTGCCACAGGCTGAGTCGGCGACTCGCAGCGGTTGGTTCAGGTGTGGCGAGTACTAACTCCGGGCAGTACGGTCCTCGCTCACAGTTAGCGACGTTTCCAGGGAACTTGCCAGTGACTGCCAGTTCCGACTCTCAGTTTATGCCGGCTGCGATACTACTTCTCTTTCAAGACTCTGATTCCATTGCTTGTCTAGGGTTTTTTTTTGAAACGTGCTCCGAGTACGCCAGGCAGAGCTCCGAGCAGCTGAGCGAGGCTGGCAACTTGCAACCGTTGAACACTGTTGAACGGTGAGCCTGGAGGCGCTCGGAGTGCTGCGCGGGCCCCGGCACGGTACGGCACTGCTGATCGGACCGGTGCCGTACCTCGGACGGTGACTGGCTGGTGATCGGACCGTAACGGCGTGGTCGTCCGATCACCGTTCTGTAGGATTTCGCCCAGGAAAAACCAAGGAAAAGGGCTTTTTTTCAGTTCTCGATCTCCCAGTACCGGTTATGACTAATGACCCGGTGGTTTCCCCTGAATAAGGGGGTGGTGGTACCTGGATTGTTTGAGAGGGGTCGTTGAATTAGTTTTTAATACAGCGTGTTTTTGTTCAAATATCTCATAGCTATTTTTGTATGAGTCAGTTAGACATTTGTATTATTTGCGTTTTATTTATTTTTATATTTATAAACAGATACATGATGTTTACATATTGTTACCAGGAACTTCCAATCCCGTACAGAATGTCACAACATACCGGTACTGCTTACCCCAAAATCTATGTGGGGTGGGTGGAAATCGTCCCACCGCAGCCAAAGAGGATTCATGTTTGGAATGGCATCATTCTACAACAGAGCATGAGATTGTGATGATTGAGCAGAGTCTCTCGCGATCCCAAGCACTCTCTTTCTACAAGCAACACTGCATGGCAAGCAAGGATGCGAATTTCACCGTCAATGGGGCTTTGGCATGTTACATGCCGGGAGCAACACAACGCAAGGAGTTGTCGTCATGTGTTTGTCTAGGATAAATCGTATCCTCCTCATGTTTGGAAAGTTTTGAATAGCCTTGAAGATTTTCCTGCAGATGACCAGTCATATTTACCTTCTCAACCCCTATGAAGCACATTCTGAGGTTTACTCTGAGGTTTACACAGGATTTCTGTCAGAACCTGCAACAGTTAACATGGACACATGCAAACGTATGAAGAAGCATGGACACATGTAAATGTATGAAGAGGATGTTGCTTCTTCGAAGATGGTATGGAAAGACTCGTGACAATGAAGAAAGTTTGGGCCAGGAAAAATTTGAGGAAATTTCCCAAATGCGTTAAGCTTTCCTCATAGCTGCATTGTACCATCAATCAGATGTAGGTAGCCTCATTTTAAATGTTCTAGGCAGGTGCGAAGCGGATGTTCTCCTATAAAATTTATGGTCTACGATACTGATTCATGCAACACTTGTGATTTTCTGATCGTAATAATCAGATTGTCAGAGTGTGTTTCCATATGTTAGATAACCTCCTCCACTCAATATGGTAGATTGAATTTGAGCTTAATGATAGTTTACTAAACCAAAGTTGAGGGTCCTCTCAAATAAAGATTGGTTTAACATCTCTGCATCTGAGCAGCAAGTGTGCTGCTTTTCGCTGCAAGTCAGATGTCAAGCTTTGCATCAACAATAATTTTCTGCGACAGAGCAATTATTCATTTGAATTCAGGAATATATATGTCACAATCAAGCCTGCATGCTTTTCTTGCTGGAATTCTATCTGAAAGTCTCTTGAGAAGCTAGTCATCTCTGCTGCTTTCAAACGGATAATCTCCCTGTTTCACTTCAGCGCGCAGTGTTGTAAAAAGGGAAGTGAAACAGGGAGATTATCCGTTTGAATGCTCTCACAACGATCATTGGGCTGCATGGCTTCCAGATATCTGCGATACCTTCTGTGTCATTGTCTCTCTCAACTGCTTCTCATCCAATGGTCCACATCAGCAAAGGACAAGGAGGCAGCAAAATAAAATATTTTGGAGGAAAACTCTCATTGAAAAACTCAAAGCACACATGTAAGCTTCCGAATCACACATCCGTCGCAAGCCTTCCAGCACACATGCATGTTGAGCTTCTGATTCACCTGTGTCATTGTCTCTCTCAACTGCTTCTCATCCATGGTCCACTGCAGATGGTTTGCATCATGCCAGAATCAGGGAAGGGGTAAAGGACAAGGAGGCAGCAAAATAAAATATTTTTCATTTTGTACTGTTATCGACAAATAAAAATTATTCTAGTGAACATTTCAAATCAATTTCGTAAGGTCTCAAATTACAAAGTTCATACCGAGTTCATGCTGTTTGTTCGGAGCCTCGGAGCGAATGCGGGGGCCCGGCCTTCGCGCCCGGGCCGCGGCCGAGTCACGAGATGATTGTAGGCTCGTACTGATATTTAACTTCAAGCAATTGTAAGTAAAAGAATATCAAGGACCACTGTACTTTAGGCTTTCTTTACTCAAAGTTAAGTTAAAGATCAGTACGAGGACAATCAGGAGAGTCGAGGAGGCTTGACCCTGACACTGTCGCACAGGCCAAACGGCGAGAAGAGAAAAGACAGCGAGAACCAAACCTAATCCTGCCAACTGCTGTCCCCCAAACTTTAGAGGATCCACCTGGTGCTTTACTCAAAGTTAAGTTAAAAACTGTAGTACTTGACTCAACTTCGGTGAACCCACGTGACCGGGCTTCCCGATGTACGGTCAAGTTGACTTCGGCATAGGGGTCCACCCCGCGCCCCCCGCCCCCCCCCCCCCCAGGGGTACCGGTAGTATAGTAGTACCTTCGGTGCTTTGCAGTAATTGGTAGGGGTGGGTACTATCACGGTACCGGTGGCTGTTGGGGTGTACTAGTGGTGACCCGTACTAGTCTGACCGTCACAGAAGTTGGAGGCACTGCCGGGGCCTTGTTAGTGGGGAAAGGGAGGGGTGGGGTGGTTTCACAGATGGCGACCGGTGCCTAGTAGGTGAAAGGTGGGGTAGTCAAGCCTTTGAAAGAAGGGGTAGTCACCTGTTTCCCACAGACAGAAGTAGTGATACCTGCCCTGTCATGCATCATGAAACGGAGGTTGAGGAGCGCGAGAGGGAGGAGGGGCAGAAGTGGTCCGGGCGAAGCACGAGGAGGAGAGGAACCTGAAGGTTGCTATCAGTTGCGATGGTTGCGATGGAAGTAGAGCTCTCCGTGCCAGCCATCACGCGCATGAGGAGTAGACAGTACTTCCAGAGATAACTTCAAGGGCTGCAAGGAATCTGAATAATCGCGTCAACCAGCTCATCTTCAAATCGATGGCTGATGGCTTCTTCACCACTCTCCCTGTCATCATGAGCAAGATCAACTTCGTCCTCGGCATCGGCCTGCTCGTAGCAGGTCTAGTAGCAGCTTCATGTCGAATTCCAGACTATTGCCAGTCAGCAATCGGACATGCCCCATCTCCTCACTTGCCGCTTGAACGCTACTCGGGCTACAAGTATGACTATGCTGGAGCGAGCAGGGCGGGAAACGACCCATACAGCTCGAGAGGCTGGCACAGCAAAGCCCATGAGGAGCAGCAGTCAGGAATGAAGTCGAGGAGCAAGACGACCGAGGAGGACATCAATCTCCATCTTTACGTGAGGTCGACCAGCATGTGCAAGTCTGTTCAAAACCACGCGGCAGCCTTGCTTCGAGCCATGATTGTGATGGGCACCGTCCCTGCCCTCTTCCCCCTCCTGTCCGGAAGCTTGGGCTGGCTTGCTGCCAAGTACAAAGGCTACATCGAGATAGCAGGGAGCTTCCATCTGACCATCCTCATCTCGGGGATAGTCACGTCTTTGACTGGCGTGCTGATGCTAGCTTTCCAATCCTGGTCCGCTTTACTATACTGCGGTGAGTAGGGCTTTCCGTGTATCTTCTCCTGTTTCGATCCTGTCTGCTTCTGCCAAATCTCGCCTTCCTCCCTCTCCACTTCTTGTCCTCTCCGCTAACCTCCCTCCCGCTCTTCGTCCTCTCCCTCTCTCCCTCCCCTCCCCTCCTGCTATTCTCGTGTCCCTGTGTCGCTCACATGGGCCTCTCCTAGACAAGTACGGATCCTCCAGCAGCAGCTTCTGCAGAATCTTCTCCGGCAGCATGTGGGCCATCGTCTCATTCAACGTCATCCTCGTGGTGTATCAGCTGGCCTTCTCCATCCTCATGTGCTCCATCTGCTGCCAGGGCGACCAGTCTGCTGGAAGCAGCACTATCGCAGCCGACGGGGCGCAGGGAGGCATGCCGGTAGCTCGGGTCGCCGAGAGGCAGGGATGGGAGGGAGGAGGAGGGGGCCAGGAGATGCGTTGGGCGACAGGCACAGGGGCGTACGAGGCAGGAGGAGGGGTTGACGGTATGCTGCAGTGGGCAGCAATGCCGGGTGTGCAAATAGAGTGAGATGGTTCTGTGGATGGAAGCATGAGAGAGAGACAACGAGGACAGGTGCGAGGATGTGGCAAAAAGAATGGCAGAGGGAGAGGGAGAGGGAGAGGGAGAGGGAGAGGGAGAGGGAGAAAAATAGGAAGAGCAGCATGGTGGAGCATGTAAAATAAAGAACAGCTTGTACAAAGATTTGTTTACCCACATGCGTCGTCAGACCGAGTACCATTTAGAGCGAGGCAACGAGCTTCTATGTCACATCTACTTCGACTACGACAAGACAAGCTTGCGCATACACCCCCCTCAGGAATGCTCGCACCAGCAGCTTCCGAGTTATGTTGTTGTACAGAGCGACCTTGGCGAGTAAAAATGGTCATTAGAGCAATTAGAATTGCGTTCATCAAATCACAACATGCAGAGCAGCTTAGCTTACTACTTCTCGCCAGGACGTGAAGATCTTTCTGCACTAGGCATGTGCGGTATGCGCCTTGGTCCGGCGTACCGCATCGCTCCCACTGGTCGACGACATGTCGTTGCATCTGTATCGCAACTTTGCTGGAGAACGATAGGGTCAGTCAAGATCATCAGCGTCGAACGCTGCATGTTCGAATGCATATCTCATCTGTTTGAATAGCCTTTCCATTTGACGAGTTAGTACAGTCCACGTTGCTCTTGGTGAGAATCTTTTGAAATTTGTGCTCAAATCCCCGACGAGTCTGCGAGGGCCCTGGACGATCGATGATGCTGTCGGGAGAAGAATCTGGATCCGAATGAGGTCGTAGACGCCTTTTGCCTTAGTAGCTGCTGTCCTGGAGGTGTTGAAATCGATCCGCGGATCCATATTAGACTGTCTTGTCTGAAACGAAATCAGAAGCTCTTTTCCTAGCACGTGCCGAATGGTGTGTGTGATGAGAGCCTTGGTCAGATAGACAACATCTATGATGGCTTCGCGTTGTTAAAAAGTGAGATGAGCTTGAACTGCAACCTGCCATGCTCGGGTGCGTCAAGTGCTGTGCACGTAGAGCGGACGATTCGATCAAGGTGCTTGCAAGGTCAGAGACAAACAAACTGGAAGGTTCCATTACTTTAATGCTCGACAAGGTCAAGGAGCTGCCTAGCTAATATGCGCGTCACACGCTTGGCACTACTTGCCCTGTCGGCTGGAATGATAAGCCGAGTTGTTGGGGTTGAGCTGGTTGGCGTGGTTGTTCTGCGCTGCCATGTAGCTGGAGCTGTTGGGGTTGAGCTGGTTGGCGTGGTTGTTCTGCGCTGCCATGTAGCTCGAGCTGTTAGAGTTGAGGTTGTTCTGCTTCATGTTTGATACCTCCGCGACCGCCGCTTGTCTTTTATTGCCTCTGGTCCCTATCCCTTCACCACCCCCTCACCCCCTGTATGCCCTGCCACCGCATAGGGTGGGGCCCAGAAGACCCCCTCAGGCGCTATTACCACCCCCTGTTGGCCCTACCAACGCAAAGGGTGGGCTCCCTCAGGCGGTGTCAAGTTACCACCCCCTGTTGGCCCTGGAGATGGGTAGGGTGGGGCCCAGAAGACCCTCAGGCGGTATTACCACCCCCTGTTGGCCCTGGAGATGGAGATGGGTAGGGTGAGGTCCAGCAGACCCCTTCTAGACGGCGTTACCACCGGGGGCCTGTTGGCCCTGATGAGAGGGCTTCTGAGCGTACAGGATGTCAAGGTGTATAGCGTACAGGATGTCAAGGTGTATAGCGTACAGGATGTCAAGGTGTATGAGCGAGCCCGCGACCAGTTGTTTCGTCCAGCTGCAAGCACACCTAACGATGTGATGCGAAAGAGGGAGAGGACAGTGTCAGGAAAGTTCAACAGCACGCAAAGGGAGCTGGTTGTTGTCAGAGCAGGAGGGTAATCATGGTGAGTGCGGGATATACCAGCCACTTCGACTCGCTCTCTCCTTTGCGCATCCCTCGGCTACTTTCACCTTGTGGACGAGCAGAACATTTCAGAAGCGTCTGTGTCTGTCAACAACAAGGACATGTTTGCTGTCAACTTCATTCTTTTTTATCGCTGTCAGATGGTTGACAGGCAGTCTGTCATGGAAACAGCAAGCAAAGCGCGAAAGGAGTTTTTATGTAAGAAATATAGTAACACTCGTGAGAATTTTCGCTGTCCTCCTGCACTTGAGCGCGAGAGGAAGACCTTCCTCTCCATCGTCGTCATATGATATAGCGTGTGAAGCAGGAGCAGGAGCAGGAGCAGGAGCAGGAGCAGGAGCAGGAGCAGGAGCAGGAGCAGGAGCAGGAGCAGGAGCAGGAGCAGCATTCATCTGAATCCTGGTGGTAATAGTGCGCCACCATGCAGTTTAAGGTTCCCAGCAGCCTCGGTTGAGAGTAGCAGAGCATTCGTTTGCTCTCCTCACCGTCCCAGCTTTCACTATAGGAGGGCGAAGGTTTTCCCAACGTATTCCTTCCCGCTCCGAGAGCCGCGTTGTTGTCGTAAACCTGAGGAAAAGCTCTCCATCATACAGTGTTGTCCAACTCCGACTCATTCCTTTGAGCTTTTGTTCAGAAGCTCGCCTCCTTTCCTTTCTTTTGGCTTAGCCTCGCCGTCGTCCTCGCCTCTCTCTGCTGTATCAGGGACAGCAGCGTATCCATCGAGTGCCGTAGAGCCCGCAGAGCCCGCTGCTGGGAGGCGGAGAGAGAGTCCCACTTGAGCTTGGGGAGGTCGAAGGGGTAGGGTGTGGGGCCAGGATGAGGGTGGACGGGAGGAGTGCTTGCAGGGAGAGGGAAGGGGAGATCGGATGCCGCGGCAGGAGGCATCGGGGCCTTGGGAGTCGCAGGAAGGGCAGAGGACAAGAGCGGAGATCGATCCACAGGAGATGACGGAGGAGGAGAGGGAGGACGCGAGGGAGCGGGTGGGCCGAGGCAGGTCAGCAGCAGACTGATGAAGGGAGCGATGAGCGACTCCTGGGGGCAAGAACGGGACAGACGGCGGAGCTGGGGGCGAGAAGACTCCATTTCTGAAGGGATCCTGAGAAGTCGCAGCAAACATGCAACGTTTCGTTGAGATACGTACAGGCCGCATTTTGGTATACCCACCTCTGAGCTTTGGCCCCCGCCTCAGGATTTGCTAGGGGTCACCGGTTGACCGCAACTTCCGGGAGGCGGGCCCAGTGCATGACTGGCTCAGACTGTAAACAGTGCATGCCAGGCCGCGAGTGATCAGCGAGCACTGGCAGGCAACTTCGGAAGCGTCAGACCGGCCAGATAGTCAGACCAGCTGCGCGACAGACCGGCTGCGCGACTGTTTCCGACTCATCATGCCAGTCATACCATCCGATCATTTCTTGCCGTGACTCTCTAGGATAGGTTGACAACTCCTCAGGGCCTCCTCGAGAGTTTCTGCTCTACACTCGTCACATCTGTTCATCACAACCTGAAGATCTTACCCTTCATCTTGGTGTCAGTTTTTCAGCAATCATAAAAAAATATTCAACCGTATCGGTGATTGTAGACCTCTGCAACTGTTGAGAATGTACGGTAAAGACTTGGAGTCGAAGAGGAAGTTGTTATGAGTATTCGTCAAGAGCAGGTGCTTTCCCTACTCTCCAGCATATAGCGTACCGCCACAAGCCCAGCCGTAGCTGCTCGCTGTCTTTGTGCAGCAATTCACCACACGACAAGTATTCGAATCATGCGTGATGGCTAGGGAGTGATGCCGAGTACGTCGACCCCACTCATCGTTTACCGTCATGCAGCCGATTCCTCCCCCCTCCCTCCCTCTAACTCAAGGCCCTGAGGTCTCCCTTACCACAGCCTGACAAGTGAGGGCAGCAGCAGGTTTATTTTTACCCCTCCCCCACCGCATTCACACACTTCCGAGGTACCACTGGCCATGTAAGCAAGCCGCTCATGCTGTCACGTCCTGTACGCTCGGTAGCCTCGCCGTCGTCCTCGCCTCTCTCTGCTGTATCAGGGACAGCAGCGTATCCATCGAGTGCCGTAGAGCCCGCAGAGCCCGCTGCTGGGAGGCGGAGAGAGAGTCCCACTTGAGCTTGGGGAGGTCGAAGGGGTAGGGTGTGGGGCCAGGATGAGGGTGGACGGGAGGAGTGCTTGCAGGGAGAGGGAAGGGGAGATCGGATGCCGCGGCAGGAGGCATCGGGGCCTTGGGAGTCGCAGGAAGGGCAGAGGACAAGAGCGGAGATCGATCCACAGGAGATGACGGAGGAGGAGAGGGAGGACGCGAGGGAGCGGGTGGGCCGAGGCAGGTCAGCAGCAGACTGATGAAGGGAGCGATGAGCGACTCCTGGGGGCAAGAACGGGACAGACGGCGGAGCTGGGGGCGAGAAGACTCCATTTCTGAAGGGATCCTGAGAAGTCGCAGCAAACATGCAACGTTTCGTTCTGCCCAGGATGACGGCTGACATGAGCCAGATAGACTAGAGCGTACCGTACCACGTACGTATGCACTGGCCGCCTGGCCGGCACCGTCACATACTCCGTTCCCTGAGAGGCTCCGACAGCGGAGCCTATTCCAACTCGAAGTCAGGCCGCCGCGGGCAGCCGCTGAGCGGCCCACTGCGGCAGGCCGTCCGACTCGGCGCCGGGCGCACAGGCTGGCCGCTGTGCGGCGCCCGGCCGCCCGGCCGGGCTCCGAGGCTCCCCCCCCCCCCCCGGGCCCTCCTCTCATCACTGTGTAAAGGCTACATCTTCCAAAGTTCCTTCACGGTGTTGCCTCATAACACAGGCTCGAGCCTCTTTGCCGTACTCTCACACGTCGATCACCGAAGTATTTATTTCAAAGTTTCATACCGCTTGTACCGGGTATGGGCGGTGCCAGTGGACAGTCCTACACTGAGTATCTTGCCCATTGCATCTATCTCTTACCGCACAATCGAAGAGTTGTGTGCAGACACTCTTACTTCTCCTCTACACGCTCGAGGCTCTTCTCAAGTCCACCGGACAAGTAAGGGCAGAAGCAGATTTATTATACACAGACCCTTCAATGATCTACACACTTCCAAGGGCTAGTCCGACTAGAAGCTCCACCTTTCAGTCTATCTCTCACCGCAAAATCAGAGTGTTGTGTAGGGACATAATTGATCTGAGGGCAGGCGGACGGGCTCATTTCAAGACGCTCTCCTCCTGTACAGGAGCTCTCGCACCTTAGTTGCATTCCCTTGTTATCTCGATAGGGCTACCCGAAACTTGTGACTGGGAGATAGCCGTGTAAGCAAGCCGCTCATGCTGTCACGTCCTGTACGCTCGGTAGCCTCGCCGTCGTCCTCGCCCCTCTCTCCTGTATCAGGGACAGCAGCGTATCCATCGAGTGCCGTAGAGCCCGCAGAGCCCGCTGCTGGGAGGCGGAGAGAGAGTCCCACTTAAGCTTGGGGAGGTCGAAGGGGTAGGGTGCGGGGTCTCGAAGAGTCTCAGGGGCACCAGTAGTAGTAGAAGGATCTTGATGTCGTTGAGAGGAAGGAAAGAGTCGAGGAGGGAGATGCGAGGAGAGCGGGGACGTCGGAGGAGTAGCAGAGGGCTCAGCAGACACCATGACTCTGCAGGAAGGGGATGGGATTTTGCAACTGGGTAAGGTTCGACCCGTACGAAGAGCAGGAGGAGAGCGAAAGATGGAGGGAGGAGGAAGGCAGAGAGCTGGTGTGTGAGGACGAGAAGGCGTGAGGCTGGTTGGGACGTTCCACGTACTGCAAGCTAGTAGTTATCAAGGATGCCAGGAGCTCCAGGGGGTGGCGACGGGCCACCGGAGCTGGTTTCGAAAAAGAGACTTTTCATATCTCAATGTCATTATCAGGCCCTTACAGCGATACCTCTACCCCTTGCTTTTAGATCAATTCGGTTCTTCATAGAGGGTGGGGTATGCAAAACCTCGCCGATCTCCAGGCTCGATGACTATCTGGAGATTTGATGACTATCTGGAGATCGCACCTCAAAGGGGCGGAGAGGGTTACCCAGGGTTGCCTTGCGACTGTCGGTACTGATTTTGAGTAAGGAAGTCACCGGATTTTTCACTTCACTTTGAGTAAAGAGTCGGATGCTGTGCCGTGGCAGCCACAAAGAAGAGGCTGCCACGGTGAACTTGAGTAAACGCCGGTGGTCGGTCCGATCACGGCCGGGCGGCAAGTTGCCGGTCGGATACTGCCGACGGACGGTGCCAGGCCCGGCGGGCCCGGGGGCCCGCCGGGCACGGCCGGGCCGCCGGGCTCCGAAGCCCGCCGCCCGGCCCGGCACTGGGCCCGGGGGCCGGGCACTGCTGGCGCCGGCCCGGACTCCCGGCCGTGACCGTAGAGTCTGCGGCACTGCGGCACGCGGCCGCGGCGCCCACCGCCGGTGCCACTGGGATCGGACAGCCATTGCAGTGACGGTGCGGCTTCAGTGCTAAGTTGCGATCCCGGGCAGTCATCTGTGTCAAACCGTCCGATCGCCGCCTGGCCGCCTGGGGCCGCCGGGCCGGGCCGGGCGCCGCGGCCCCCCTGGCCGCACTGCTGCGGCCGCCGCCGCCGGGTCGCACGGATCGGACTCCTGGCCGCTAAGTCACTGAGTGGTGGCGGCAGCCGCGCCGGGGTGCCCGGCGGGCGGCCGCCATGGCGACAACCATACTCCGGAGCCTCAGGTGACCGTTACGGCACGGTCGCGGTCTTCCGAGGAGCGGGCCGACACCTCGAGGCCGGCATTGAAACCTGAACGGTTCCGACGGTTCCGGGACTCCGACCTGCCGCAGTGCCGGGCCCGGCCCGGCCCGGGCCGGCGCCGGGCTGCAACTGGGAAGGGCCCACTGGCCTCAAGGAAAACGGCGGCCATGGCAGGTAAGGATGTACGAAAGTGGAGTAGGGGAAGGAAGAGCGATGCGAAGGAGGAGAGAGAGGAGGCTCAGGACAGCGGGAAGAAGATGAGGAAGGAGGGAGACGTAGCAGTAAGGAGATAGAGAAAGAACTTGCTGTCTTTTACCATGAAGACCGGACAAGGAATTTCGATGTAGTCGGCAAGACTTGTAATCTTCTTGAAGACGGCTTGAAATAAATGTGATGATACCCCAGCCAGTTGTAATCTTGTTGCTGCAGATGTTAGGTATGCCATGATGCTCGGGCTGGTCGCGTTCAGGACGGCGTCGTCCCTCTCCCTCCAATCTCCCCCTTCCACTCTGGCCATGGTTACCCCAACAGCCAAGTTGACTTCCTCGTGCAAGAGCATGCGGCATTCCAGCATGTGCAGCAGGCCAAAAGATATCCTGCTGGACGGCAAGAAGAGCTCGTCTCCTCCCGGCTCCCTCCTCTCCCTGCGAGGAGGAGGCAAGGAGAAAGAAACCAGCTCCGAGAGCGGTGTCATGGAAAAGCTGGTAGGGGGCGAAGCTCAGCTGCTGTTCGTCGCAGCTCTCTACGGGTCACTCACCGTCTCTTTCCGTCTCCTCTACGCCATGGAGGGCCCTCCCTGCGCCTCCGTCGCTAGTTTCGTGAGAGGGATGATGGCTGCTGCATGCTTCCTCCCCGTCCTCTTGCGGAACACCCAATCCTCCTCCTCCTCCTCTGCCTCCTCTTCTGCCTCCTCCTCCTCCTTCTGGTTGGCAGCATCAGAACTTGCGATGTGGAATCTTGGGGCGCAGGGGCTGCTCAACGTCGGCCTCCTCTTCACCGAGGCCTCGCGCGCGTCGTTCCTGACGCAGACGTCTGTGGTACTGACGCCGCTGGTGGCAATGGTGGGAGGAGACAAGGTGATGGAGGAGGAGGAGGAGGCAGAGGAGGAGGCAGAGGAGGAGGAGGAGGAGGCGGAGGAGGAGCAGGAGGAGGAAGAGGAGGTGGTGGAGGCGGAGGGGAGAGATAAGAAGGGAGGAAGGGAAGGAAGGGGAAAGTCAGAGAGGCGAGGAGGCGAAGGGTTTCGGTTAAGGAGGAGGAGGGGCAGAGGGGAAGGGGTTGGAACGAGGAGGATGCGAGGAAAGGAAGCGAAGCCGGAGGGTAAAAGGATAGAAGATGCAGAGGGAAGAGAAAAGGTCCAGCAGAATGTAGACTAAGGAGGAAGAAAAGGGTTGGAGAACGGGATCTGAAAGGGGAAGGGCATCGAGGGAGAGGGAGAGGAAGAAGATGGGGAAGGGAGATGGAGAAGGATGGGGAGCTCAGATGTTTGTGTTTGACGTCCCTGCAGGTCGGCAAGAACGTTTGGTTCGGCTGCCTTCTGGCCCTTATTGGCGTTGTCACCCTTGCTTCTGCTGAGTCCTCGGCTGCTGCTGCTGCCGCCGCTGGAACTCTTGGTGAGTTGGAAGCAGGAGGAGAGGAGAGGAGAGGAGAGGAGAGGAGAGGAGAGGAGAGGAGAGGAGAGGAGAGGAGAGGAGAGGAGGGGAGGGGAGGGGAGGGGAGAGGAGAGGAGGGGAGGGGAAGCAGGAAGAAGGAGCAGAGATGTGTGATTTATTAGAGGAGGGAACCTTGAAAGCGAAGAGACTAGCTGCTCTGCTCTGTTCGTTTCTTCTCACGATGTTTGGCAGGAGGTATCAACATCGGCGACGCTTTCTGCCTTGCTGGAGCTTTGAGCTGGTCCATGTACATCTTTCGTCTCACCTGCATCATGGAGAAAGGAGGAGACTCAGTCAGGATCCAGGTAGAAATGCTGCTGGTGCTGGTGCTGGTGCTGGTGCTGGTGCTGGTGCTGGTGCTGGTGCTGGTGCTGGTGCTGGTGCTGGTGCTGGTGCTGGTGCTGGTGCTGGTGCTATTGTTGTTGTTGCTATTGCTATTTCTTCAACTCATGAACACTTGACAGGCATGGAAGACAATCATCCTTGGAGGTGATTGCAAGCTGCTGCTGCTCTTGCTCGCCCCCGCTGACGTTCCTCCAGGTCTGTACGGCCTGTGGGCTCTCGCAGATGCTGTGAAAGCTGTTGGAGCCGGACAGACAGTCAGCTCGCTATGGCCAGGTAAAGGAGAGGAGAGGAGAGGAGAGGAGGGGAGGGGAGAGGAGAGGAGAGGAGAGGAGAGGAGAGGAGAGGAGAGGAGAGGAGAGGAGAGGAGAGTAGGAGAGAGGAGTGTGGGAGACAAGAGGAGAGGAGATGGGCAGGGAAAGGAGAGCAAAGGAGGAGAGGGGAGGGGAGGACTAATGAAAGGAGCAGGAGCAGGGAGTTTGACGGCTTGGATCATTCTTCTCTTCTCTGCCGTCGGTCCAGGAGCCATTGCTGATGTCATGCAAGCTCGTGCTCAAGAGAAAGTACCCCGGCCATTCTCGAACCTTCTCCTCCATCTCCATGCCACGACCAAACACTCCTCCTCCTGCCCCTGCTGCTTCTGCCGCTGCCGCTGCTCCGCCCCTCTCCAATTCTTTCGCCTTTGCCCCTTTCCTCATGTAACTTTCGTATGTACTTGCCCTTGCTCTACTTGAGCCTTCTCCTCCTCCCCCCTGCTGGTCCTCCCCCTTGTCCTTCCCCTTGTCCTCCCCCTTGTCCTTCCCCTTGTCCTTCCCCTTGTCCTCCTCCTTTCTGTTCCTCTTCTGATCTCTTTCCTCACCTCAACCTGCTGTCTCCCTTCCTCACTCCTCGCAGGTCAAGGCATCCCAGGCAAATGTCATCCGCTT